AAATAAATGTGATACATGTGAAACACTTCATTCTATAACAATTTGCCAAACAGGGATTCCTGGACTCAAGACACTCAAATGGGGCCGATGATTTGGCCTGCATGAGGGATCCTAGTGTCCCTGGCTCAGAAGATCATTGCTGTTATTTGTAGTTCTTTGCTTTCTCCGACTGAGGAGTTTGCTTGGTTCTGGAACCAAGTCCCAGGTTCTTCCGATAGACATGAACAGTAACTTTCATAATGTTAATAACCACCAACTGAGTGCACCAGGCACTTCATGCTACACATGTATTTGTGCTGCTCACTACATGTGCATGTGTAGATTCATGTACTCCCCAAACAAACCAAGTGATGGCATGAGAAATTTAAGCCTGCCTCGGAGATGCAATGGCTCCCAGGCTGAGCAGTGGCATCCTGCTGGGTAGGAAGGCAGTTGATTTTTGTTGTGTTGACTGCTCTGCACACAGGACCTTTTGTCTTTTCACCTACTTCCTCCAGAACACAGATCCTCATTCTCCTCCATGGTCATTAGGCATTGTAACTGGCCTCTTGAGCAGCTTGGTGGTGGGTCCTTTGTATGAGAAACAATGCGGCCTTTCCTCCTGCAAATATCAAGCCCCGGCTACCTCTTCCTCCAACTGATGGGAGCCAGTGGCTTAATGAATGCAGGAGGGAGGGCTGCTCTGAGGCACCGGAAATGATGATGGCAAAGGTGGCAAGGGCTCTGAATAGCCAAAGAAGGCTGCCTGCTGACCCAAGTCAATCACCGGAATGGAAAAATGCTGGCCCAGCAGAAAAAGTCCCTTTTCCAACCTGACAGTCCTGGACCCTGTAGTCTGGGTACCTGAGAGCCAATTCCTCTAATTCCCTGGGTCAACATGGCCTCACTACTCAATCAGAGGCCACATGGGTTCCTTTGGCATCCAGACATGTTGGAAAACAAAGTGGGATTTGAACCTTCATCACTAGCTCTCAAACATCCCCAGATGCCGCAGACTGAACATGAGTCCGTTCTCAACAGTCCATGAGCATTAGTCATGGGCTGACTCTGCTTGAGACAGCAGTGCTCTCCAGTCACTCCATGCCCATCCCTTCTCACCTCCTGGCCAACACCCACGGTGAGTTTGGTGGGACCAAACTCCTAGTTGGCACTTGGACTCTTCGGCATTTTATTTGGGTGAAAGCATACATTTCCTTGACGAATGGGCTCTTTGTGTTTGCAACATTTTATTATACACATTTGGGGACTTTATATATTCAACAAGCAACTTCATTCCTGGCTTCAGGCCTGCCACACAGGAACCGCAGAGGATTTCCTCTATCCACATAACTGAGAAGCAGAACAACCAGAAACCACAGCTCCTCCAGAGCCACCAGGAAGTGAGGCTCTGGAACATGCTGTTGTCCCCAAACTGGAGGAACAGGCATTGCCGAAAATGACAGTTTATCTCTGCAAACGCTCCCTGGTTTGAGGTTAGGGAGCCAGGAAAAGGAAGCCTGAACTGTCACTGATGACTCCCTTGAAGTTCACTGTGGAAAAGCCTGTAAGGTAAAAACTCAAAGGGACCATTGTAAGAGCACAATACCCAGAAACATAGGTGAATGTGTTTGTCTGTTAGATGTGGGGCTAGTCTCTTTCTGTCTGTGAATCTCTAACTCTTGGATAGACTCCCCAGTTCCCCCAGATTCCAGGAGACAAGCCGGTGCCATAACTCTCCTTTCCAAGGACGTGTACAGGTTACCAGATTTTAAAACATCAGAAGAGCTACCAGTGGTGTGGCAGCATATCCCACCCCCGCATAGCATGGGTACTCAACTAAATGTGCCTCTTCTCCCCCACATCCTCAGAACTATACATTTCCTTCTCCAGGACTCAGAACGCACACACACTCATCCCCACCACCTGGGAATCTGTCTACACACCTGTCTATGGTCTACTCATCAACTCTATGGTATGAAACCCCCATTCCTCTGAAACCTATAAGGAACCCCCACTCTGCCTTATAGGCTTGACCTCTCTTCAGAGGCCCTGCTATGCTGTTGTCTGTCTAGAGCATCAATAACTATTCTAATCGCTTGCCTACAATATTAGTAACGATTCTAATAAATCTCCCGTCTATAGCATTAATAACTATTCTAATCTCTTGTCTATAGTGTTAGTAACTATTCTAATAAATCTTTTACTTCTTACTCAAAAAGAGAATCTACCTCAGTGTCCCCTGTACCCCAAACCTAAGACTTTTCAGTGCCTTCCCACAATTTCAAATTTTCATTGGCAGCAACTTGCCAGAAATTCTTGCTTTCCTCAATAGCCTTGGCTGAGGCAAACACAGGTTCTTTTATTTGTCTTAATTACTAATTACTTAATATTAACTGTCAGATCACATATTCCATATATTTCATATAAACATATATTTGCATATACATACACACATTTATATAGATATAATTGTATCATATATACTCATATATGATACAGAATGGTAACAAAAGGTTAAAGAAGTTTCAAAGAGGCCTAAGAAACTAAAAGGCTAAAGCTGAGAAACTGAAAAATGAAATTCTCTAAGGGGATAAGATAGCATAATGCTGGAGATCTGCAGAGAAGACTGTACACCGCTGTGTACAGTCTTGAGTCCAGGCAAAAGGGCAGGACCAGGTCCAGATAAACCAAGAGATGGATGGATGGATGGATGGATGGATGGATGGATGGATGGATGGATGAATGGACGGACAGATGGATGGCAGGTCTAGATGGATGAACAGGAAAGTGGACAGAGAACAATTTGAGTGGGTCATGTCAAAAGCAGGGGCCAGGCCAAGCCGAAGACTCTGGGATAGAGGGAAGCCACCTGATACGTCAGTAGCCCATACTCAAGGTGTAATGGGAAGGCCTACATAAGACCTGAATTCTCATATTTTTTAAAGGAGTGTGTGTGTGTACATTGCCTGTGGAGCCGGATCTCCTGGAACTGGAGTTACAATTGATTGTGAGCTGCCCAGTGTGGGTGCTGGGAACCGAAATCAGGTCCTCTATAAGCAGTATGAAGCCTTATTCACTGAGCTATCTTTCCAAAACATTTGTATTTTTTAAGTCCCATTTCAATGTTTGTTGTTGTCTGTTTTATATTATCATCAATCACTTTAATATTTGGTTATACTTTCCTTCTGGGTGCTGTAGACCATGCAGGTGTCCAAAAATTAAGGCCAGTTCCATTGGTGATCTATACAACCTGTATAGTTACAACCTGTAACTTACTTTCACTGTCAGCTGCCCTCATGATAGGCAACTGTCATTTTCTGCCAGGGACCCTCAGGATCTCTACGGTCTCTTCAGTAGTAGCCATTTTGGTGTCTGTCTGGGACCCTTAGGGCCTCTGCTACTTTCTTTGTGGGTGAAGGGACTGCTTTCATGTTTCCTGCCTCAGGCCTCTGGCTGCCATACTATCAGTGGTTAATCTTGCTCTCCTGAGTGGGTCTCCTTTCCAGGAATGAAGGAATCTTCCCAGCCATGATTATTGTAGCCAACACTCTTAGTTAGCTCCATTTTAGTTTCTGTTGGGGACTAAGAAGAGGAGGGGACCTAATCTTTGGGGACCAGTGGCTTTGATCTCATATAGGTAAGTGGCAATGTGCCTCCTGTAATAGGGAGGAACCAGAGCAGGGGTTTATACCTCTATGCCAAAGCTGAGGCATTGCCTGCTGTCTTAGTTTAGGTTTCAATTGCTGTGAAGAGACACCATGTCCATGGCAACTCTTATAAGGGAAAACATTTAACTGGGGCTGGTTTACAGTTTCAGAGGTTTAGTCCATTATCATCATGGTGGGATATGGCGGCGCACAGGTAGATACAGTGCTGGAGAAGGAGCTGAGAGTGCTGCATCTGGCTCCACAGGCAACAGGAAGTGAACTGTGTCCCACATTGCATGAAGCTTAAACATATGAGACCTCAAAGCCCACCTCCACAGTGACACACTTCCTCCAACAAGGCCACACCTCCTAATAGTGCCACTCATTTTGGGGGCCTTTGTTTTTAAACTACCATTCCTCAAAGAAAGGTTATACTCCTTGTTGGGAAAACTTTATTCTACCCATAACATGGCTGGTCAACCTCTTGGTGTCTGTGATGTTTGGGTGACTTTTGTCATGTAGCTCCTCCCACAGCCAGTCTGAACATGAGGAACAAAGGGACACGCTGTGGCTCGGCTATCCTCTGCTTGGTTAGGAAGCTTGGGCCGATGCTTCCTCGCAACTTGTCAAAAGGACTACTCACTTTGGGGCAAGAAAGAGCCCACACTGGATTCTGTTTGAAGCTCAAATGTGATGTTGCTGAAGATGCTCAAAGCGAGCACAGACCGCTTTCTGGGTTCATTCCATGCTGTGATGAGGGGCACAGTACCACCACCACCACCACCACCCTGCCTGCATGTTAAAAGAGCATTGGACAGGATATTTTTAAAGCATTTCTGGCTCAGACAACTCATAACCTTTTACCAGGGTAAAGAGAGAGACCTAAGACAGATCTAGCACGTCTTCACTCTTAACAGGATTTTCCCCAAGGTTCAACAGTAACCGATTTACTTCATGCTGATCCCTGAATACACTGGGCTCAGAGGAGCCCAGGTATAACCATTGCCCAGCACCAACATCCACCACATGTCATACCTCTGGGGGAGGAGGGGCAGGAAGCTGGCAGGCAGACAAGATGCTCAAGTCTCCTTGGAAGACAGCCATAGCCACACAGCCCCCTTCACCCCGCACTAGAAGCTTCCAGTTCCTGGCTGCGTTTCTGCTTTCTTAAAAAATCAATTCGCCCATGTCTCACTCCTCTTTCCACACCCCAACCTTGCCTTTGGAGCCACATCAATATTCATGTAATAATTCTTTTAAAAGGCACAAAAGAAGCTGACTCCACACTTCCTGCGCAACAGGCCCATTTTCTTTCTAGATCCTATCATTGTGGCTGCCCAGTGAATCCCCAGGGTACGCAGTCAATGGGGCCCTGTATGCAGGCCTGGCTGTCCAGCACCTCCCCACCCTTGGCCCTCATTGGCAGCCTCAGCCTGCAGTGGACTGCGCCAAGCCCACACCCAGTCCTCTCTGGAGAAGGAATAAGAGGAGGAAGAAGCTGCTGCTCCGTCTATACTCCTGCCACTCGGACACTGAAGCCAGAGAGGACACCGGCCGCAAAAGGTGACCAGGGGGTGAGAAACAACCACTGACAGAGGACGCAAGGAAAACTGCTCTTTTTCTTCTTCCCTGGAGGGTGAGGGGTGGAGAGGATAGGACGGAAATTGAGCTTTACAAAAAAAAGGGAGGGGTGGCCTTTGGGGACACTTGGCAGCATTTCAAAACTGCCGATGACATTCTGTGATGTAAGCCTGCCTTTACTGTTTCCTTACGACTGCTGTTGACATTGACATTGTCCCTGGTTTTAGTTTCATTGAGACAGGGAGACCTTGGGTCATTGTGAATGACTCAGAACAACTACTGGTGTTTTCAGAGGTGGCTCATACACTGCTTCTTTTCTAACCCCGAAGGGGAGGTGTTTCTTTCCGGGAGCACAGTCACCCCCAATCCTCAACCAGAGCTCCCCCTTCCTCACAGCAGCTCTTCCCGTGGCCCTGAAGCACCCCTGCAGATGTTTCTAGGTTCTCTATTTGAAATGCCGAGCGCCTACATCTCCAGGCACCATAAAAAAGCTGCAGAAGAGTTTAATTTTTCAGATAATTATGAATCAGGATAAAGAAATGGGTTAGGAATGGGTGCTGATTTCCATTGTCCCCTCCAGGGGAGGGCCAGTCTCTGTGAGGTCCTCTTAGCTTACAGGCAGTATCTCTCCCAGAAACCCAAGTCCTATGTTTTCTTTACAAGACTAATGCAGAATGTCCACATGGGCATTTGTTCCATTTGTCTTAGAAGACAGACTACAAACCAATGCTTCTTTAGGAGAAAGGAAGAATAGGGGGAAAATGGAATTTGTAATGTGGTTATGGGAAAAAATCAAATTTTATGGAGTTTTCTAGCATATGGGATTTTCTTTTCAAGTCCTAGTCCCCATCCACAAAAAGACCCTTTAACCCTTCCTTCCCCCAGCCAGGACTTTTGAGAAGTGTCAAGCATGATATAGAGTTTCGCAGGATTTGTTTTTTTAAATCAATAACTGTGCTGGGGATGGGCCAATAATTGGGAGCAGAGGCAAGAAGATCACGACTTAGAAGAGAGCCCAGAGTCTACGAAACTTTATCTCAATCTGAAAGAAAAAAAAAAAAAAACCAATTCTGTTCCTGCCCTCCCCACTGTTCTTTACAGGGCACTAAACTTATTTTCTTTCATTAAAAACAAACAAACAAAACAACAACAAACAACAGTAACTGGGGCTGAAGAGACGGCCCAGCATCCATACGCCGCTCACACTGCCTGTAATTCTCGTCCCAGGGGATAGGACACCCTCTTCTGGCCTCTGCAGGCACCAGGCATGCATACATTAGAGACATACATGCAGGCAGAACACCCATACACATAAGATTTTTTTTTTTTTGCTAAAAAAACAATAACCGAAAACTCAAGTGAAGAAACTAAAAGAGAATAAAATATTATACTTTAGTCCATCAGAATAGTTCTACTTACATGAAGTACTTCAGGTGTTTTTGGAATATATGAGCAAAACAAAGTTCCTTTACTTTGTAGAACTTAGCAAACCAAAGAGCAGAGCAAGGTAAAAACCTTCAATCGGTTTCCTTTGGGAGATCATTAATAAAAAAATTTTAAAAGTTACTGAAGTTTTATTCCAAACTATTCTAAGATGTAATACTCAACACGGGAATGAGTTTTCAACCTGCTGTTATTGTTGTTATTATTTTTATTATGACAGTTTCTGACTTGAGGACCAGAACTCAAGGCCAAAAGCTGTCAAATGTTTCTGCCTAAGTGGCTGTTTTCTGAAATGAGCCACAAGCCGCCTTTGTTAATGGAATCACTCCGAGAACTGAGCAGCCCTCCCTGCATGCATGCGTCCCCAGTCTCCTCAGGCCGTGGCTGTGCATCAGGTGCTTACTGCGAAGGCTGTTTGCTTCTCGATGGCATTCTTGCTCACAAAGAAGCCGCTGTGCTGAGGCCAGACTAATGAATACGCATGGACCGCCTGGCTGTGCCTTGGTCTCCCTGTGTCAGGACACCAGCAGAATCAGATGATCTTGGAGTAATGTTTCTAGGAGGTCATTTCACTGCTATCTTTCAAAAAGCTGGTGCAGTGTTACCTTATTATCCAGATGAATTTTACAGTTTTTATGTTTGGCACCTATTCAAAAAAAATCTCACTTGTATTTTTTTTAAACAGCTTAAATTTATATATTAATTCAAATGAAAATAAGCTCCTTGTCTTAGGGTTTCTATTGCTGTGATGAAACACCATCACCAAAAAGCAACTTGGGGAGGAAAGGGTTTATTCAGCTTCTGCATCACAGTTCATCATTACAGGAAGTCAGGACAGGAACTCAAGCAGGGCAGGAACCTGAAGGCAGGAGCTGATACAGAGGCCATGGAGGGGTGCTGCTTACTGGTTTGCTTCCCCAATTTGCTCAGCCTTTCTTATAGAACCCAGGACCACTAACTAGCCAGGGATGGAACCACCCACAATGGGCTGGACCCTCCCCAATCAATCACTACTTAAGACAAATGCTCTACTGCTAGTTCTTATGGAGGCATTTTCTTAATTGAGGTTCCCTCCTCTCAGATGGCTTTAGCTTGTGTCAAGTTGATTAAAAAAAAAAAAAAACTAGCCAGGATGCTCCTGTTCTTGTTCTTTAGAATCTTTTAGAAGCACCTGCATTTTGCTTCCTAACCCCTGACATTATTGCTATATGAGGATACTGTTTACCGCATTTAAAAAATGTTCATTGATGTTGACTTAAATTTACTAGCTACTAGTCATCTTAGTGTCCTCCTTAAATCCACCAGCTGATGTACATCCTGGAGACCTCCAGGATTGGAGATGGCCACCAGGGAGCTGGAATCATTCCCTGGTGCTCTGCTCAGCACCTTTGCTAGTTCCTCATTGACCAAATCCAACCAGAAGTCAATCAACTTGGAAACTTAATCCTGTGGCCCACGGGGACTTAGAAGGGAGGTGGTGGGCCTAGAAGGCAGAGGATGACCTGTGGTCAGTGTGGAGTCACAGGATGCCTCTCCTAGCCTCTCTACCTCTTATCTGGGCTGAGGTCTGCAAGCAGCGTACTAAACTCTTCAAAGAAGAGGGTGGAAACTATGAAAAGGTGTCTTTCTTCTGCAGCCTCCAGGATGTCTGAGCTGGAGAAGGCCATGGTTGCCCTCATTGATATCTTCCATCAGTATTCAGGGCGAGAGGGCGACAAGCACAAGCTGAAGAAATCAGAACTCAAGGAGCTCATCAACAATGAGCTCTCCCACTTCCTGGAGGTAAGCCTTACAAAAGCATCTCTGAGCTGCACTAGACATGGTTCTCAGTCTATTTCTGTCTCTGGATGCCCTGGGTTGCTTGTTCAAACAGCTAAGCCCTCAAAGTGTAAGTGTAGATGGGCTGTTTCTGTCCTTTGAACCTAAGGATCCACAGGTGATGGCAGCAGAACGCAATAGTACACCCCTCACGACTAACACTTAAGAACTGTCAGCTGGTCATGGCGGCACACGTCTGTACTCCTAGTGCTTCACAGGTGGAAACAGGAGACCAGCCTGGGCTGTACAGGGATACCATCTCTCAACACAAAAACAAAACAGGGCCAGTGAGATGGTTTTAGCAGGTAAACACACTTGCCACCAAGCCTGATGATCTGAGTTTGATCCCTGGGATCCACATGACAGAAGGAGAGAACTCCACATGTATAGCATAGCATGAGAATATGTATGCATGTACACACGTGCATACACACATACACACACACACACACACACACACACACACACACACAATTTTTTCTTTAAGAATGAGACATTTTGGGAAAAAGAAATATTTTGGCTTTGTCCAGCTTTCTGGTATTTACTACAGAGGTAAGAAACTCCAGACATTAAACATTTACTGATCACTCAATTCAATACTTGAGAGACAGAGGCCCACAAAGCACCCAACCTAGCATATCCATGAGTGAACACTTGACTGAGGGAGGAGGGGGCTCCCCAGAATCTATGACATTGACTGGGCATGAGTTTAGTTTGGAGTCCCAGCAAGCCCTGTTCTTCTATGGGTAATTAATATTCTGGTGGTGGAAGCATTCACTTCCCACTGTCTCCTCCGCCCTTAAATCAGGTGCTAGTGTTTCTACTGGCCATAAACCAAGTGCTCCCATGGAAGTGAACTGTAATCCATCTGCCACCCAAGGCTCCCTTGGTCCCCTAAACCAAGGCTGACTCATGGCACACATTGAATGAGATGGAAATACCGGTGGTATACAACATGTCCCGCCATAGGAAGCTTCCTGGGGCATCGAAGTAGCAAACCACACATTCAGAGGAAAACTAATCAGTGTTTGGTCAAGTGCCAAGCCTGGGTATAACTCTAGGGTACAGCCCCGTCAGATGGTTAACAGGAAGCCACACTCCAAGTTAATTGGGTACATGTTGCTACTTAGTGACTGGATGTTTGGATGACGTTTCCCTTCCTCCAGTTCAGCCGATTACTTCACTGCCATGGAGGTAGCAGGCCTGTGGGCTTGCTGGAGAAGTCTCCAGATCTGCTTTGAGGGACTAATTTCTCAAGCATTCAGATCCCCAGGTGACAGCTACTTCATATGCATAATCAGTTATAATCCCACCCATTCTACCTTCCGATGCAAAGGAAGAGTCCTACCTCTTCATCTTTAAAGGGAATACGTAGGGATGAGATGAGCATGTTGGGCTCTTCACATAGAACAAAAGCTCTATAGATAGTAGTTTAAAATACTCGCTATTACCATGATTTTAGAACAGAAAAATGGGCATGTGATGTCACATTTATTAACGATAACTCACGATAACACGTTTGCTACCCTGGTTTAACAGAAGTACTAGAGAAAACCAAGTCGAATGAGGGAAGGTTTATTTCAGCTCAGGGTTTGGGCCATGGTTGTCAGGCTCCTGCTGTTTGGGGTCTTTGATGAGGCCAACTGCCTGGTGAGGAGCCAAGCTGCTCACCCAGGGAAGGGAAACAAAGGGAGGGCATGGCCCAGTGACCTCCTTCCTCCCACCAGGTCTACCTCCCAAAGGTTCTACCGTCTCCCAGTGGTGCTATGGGTTAGCACCAAGCCTCCTACACATGAGCCTCTGGATCAAAATCACAGCACCTGTGCTGTGGTGGAAGGAACTACACTGTGCCATCTATGCTTTGGGAGATATTTAAAAGTCCTCAGGAGCCCCTGGGAATCACCATCTTTTATATCTGAATCTTCTGTATTTAGGAAAGCACTTGACTTCTCCACAGAGCTCTCCTGTCGGGGAGGGGATGGGGAGGTGTTAATTGAAACAGTGGGAACTGAGGCTCTTCAGTGCTCAGAGCCTGAGTTCTTCCCACCTGTCTTCAGGCCTGTGCTCTTGGCACGTCAGCAGCCTTACCGTTCTTCTGGTTTGGGCATCAGTTAGCTGCAGCCTTACCGTTCCTCTGGTTTGGGCATCAGTTAGTTAGCAGCAGCCTTACCGTTCCTCTGGTTTGGGCATCAGTTAGTTAGTAGTAGCCTTACCGTTCTTCTGGTTTGGGCATCAGTTAGCTGCAGCCTTACCGTTCTTCCAGCTTTAGCATCAGAACTGACAGGAAGAAGCCTACGACAGGGACACTGAGGAAAGGACTCACGGAGACAATAGATCAAAACAAGCAGCAGCTCTGACACATTCCCAAGTGTCATTTTAGTGGATGTTGAAACCCACATGGCTCCCAAGCACACGTGTGCTCAGGAGCACTGAGTTCCTTTCTTTTCTAAGTCACGGGCTCAGGTTGAGACAGGCGTCACACCTGTTCCAGGTGTCGTCTGTTACTTCTTGATTGTTGCCCTATTTTAAAGTAACCCCGGTCCCACTAAACCAAAGGGAAGAGGAGAGGCACAGACTCGTCCCCGCTCCCCTGTGGCTGGCTGACTGTCCCCGGCTCACAGAGAATTTTTCATTTCCTATACTGGGATTGTTTCTCATGCAAATTATCAGCCTAGTATTTTTAATAACATTTTGATAAACCTATATCCCATCTAAAAAGGGCTTAATCAACTTTCCTATTTTTTTTTCTCTCTCAGGAAATCAAAGAGCAGGAAGTCGTGGACAAAGTCATGGAAACACTGGATGAAGATGGAGATGGAGAGTGTGACTTCCAAGAATTTATGGCCTTCGTCTCCATGGTGACTACAGCCTGCCATGAGTTCTTTGAACATGAGTGAGACAAAAACAAGGAGCCAAGCTGCTCCTGTGGCAGACACGAAGGTCACAAGCGGCAGCAGAGCAAAGCCTTGCAGGCTCAAAGGAGCTGAGCTCTCCAGTCACATACAACTAATTAGGAAGCTTGATTTGCTTGGGGAATGGAAAACTGAAAGCCTTCCCAAGGGCTGCTTGAAATTAGCACATCATTGTTTCTGCTACATTAGGCATTCCTGTGAGCTGTCTGGTCCCAGGAAGTATGGGTAAGCATCACTTAGGGGACAAAATCAATGCTCAGCAGTAAAGCATGTGTGGCAGACCACCATGCCCCTTAGAAGCATCACCCAGAAGAATTATAGGACAGCATTCTCAATGCTTCCAACAAACCCAAAACTCCACAGCTGGATCCACTGTCACTGGAAGAGGCTGCTTTTCCTTACACCTTCCTTACACTGTTTGTGCAAATGATGCCCAAGAAAGCAGATAGTCTGATTACAACACCCTCCCCGAAGCCCAAATGAGCAGGGCACTTAAGTCTCTGCTTCCAGTGAGCAGCCATTACTAAGTAAACAGTCAACGCCAACAGTTCTAACTGCAAACAAATAGATCTCACAAACTAAGCATTAACATTCTAACTTGGGCCTGAGAATCAAAATTCTATTCAGTAGACTTTTAGGATGGCACTGCTGTTCCTGTAGGACATGTACAAAGGAGGAGACTGACTACAGTGTAGTGTACACTGTGAAGATGTGTCACTCTGATGGGTTTAATAAAAAGCTGAATGGCCAATAGCTAGGCAGGATTTTCAAGGGCAAAGGGAATGCTGGGAAGAAGTGGGGAGTCGCCAGACAGACGGAGAGGAAGCAGGATGAGAGTACAGAGTAAAGGTAACCAAGCTACATAAAAGAATGTAGATTAAAAGATATGGGTTAATTTAAGTTATAAAAACTAGTTAGTTAAGAACAAGCGTAAGCTATCGGCCAAGCTTTCATATTAATAATAAGTCTCTGTGTCATTTTTTGTGAGCTGGCAGCCCAAAGAAAATTCTGTCTACAGTGTAAAGCTTTTTCCAGCTTTACTGTCTATAAAGCAAGTGACTATGAGATTGATGTCTGCAGGGTGAGTTGCTGGGGGAATGAAGGGTGCCTCAGATATGCCCTTCAGTGGCTGGAAGTCACATGTGACTTGCTGTGCCTAGGGCCTGCTTACCACTTGGTGAGGCTGAGAGTCAAGAGTGGTGGGAAACTGAACTTAATGCTTTTTAACCTATATATTCAAATAATGAAGGTTCAAATAATTCAAGTTACAAATAAATAAAAATCACATCATAAATATTAAAAAGCCATTCTAGGGAACTTCTAATTATTCTTACCCACCCCCTTTTTTGGTCTTAAAAATTCATTAAGTCAACTGAACAATGCACTTGCATAAGATAAAAAGGACATTGTAAAAAATTTCCACCACTGAACAAGAAATAAAAATAAAACACTCACTAGACCAGGACAAAGACTAAAAGTCCCTAAAGTGGGACTGTCCAGACCTCACTCCATCCCTCAGGCACAGCCCAGTTAGGTGGAAGGCAGCCGGGGCTGCAGGAGGCTCTGGAATGTTCAAAGGCTGCACAGAATCAGGCTCTCCCTGACTAGAGGATATCATGTGGCTCTTGCAGTTTTCCAGACTGGCTGGGCCATGTGTTAGCTTTCTTGCCACTGTGACAGAATGTCTGGTATAACTAAAAAGGGATAAAGATTTATTTAGATCGTGTTTTCAGAGGTTTCATTGTGGGAGGAAGTGCATGGCGGAGGAGCTCACACCATGGCAGATAGGAAGGGAATGGAAAGAATAGGAGACAAGGTATACCTTCCATGGTATGCCCCAGAAACCCACTCCGTCTAGTTAGCCTCACCTCCTGGAGACCACGTGTTCCAGCACATGAACTTGTGGAGAAAGTTGAGTGCACTGGACACCTGAGGCAGAGAACTGGCAATGAACTGAGCTGGACTGCAAGGGGCACATAGTAGGTACTTTGGGGCACCTGAGCTACCAAGACAGGAGACAGGAGCTATCAGCAGGGATTCCTGATGTCCTTTTGTCCCAGTCAGATGGTACAGTCCTCACATACAATTTCCGTGTGGTCAGGGCCATCTGCTTATCCAAGCCTCCTGAACTCCTCTAGAAAGGCAGATGTGGTGACTGCATTCTCTTCAAGAACCTTCTAGGAGACTACTGCCCATGTGACTAGAGCTGGGCATGAATTTTATGCCAATGCAAGCTCCCACACTGTGTATCACCTACCCATAAGTGACACTTTTATTTGCTGGGGGTAGGGAAATTCTGTCCTCTGGTAAGCAGTGGTCCACACTCACAGAGGCACCTGAGCTAACCCTGCTGAGAAGCTGTACCCTCCAGCCTGGCCCTGTCTGGGGAGATGCTCTAAGGTGACCAGATCTCTGCAGGGGTCCTGAGATCCTCTCCAAGCAGCCTGAGACAAGTGGACTAGAGCAGGGAGGAAACTCTAGCGGGAGAGAGGAGTGAGCTGAGACCACTCCCCAGGACAGTGACAGTGTGAGAGGAGTAACTAGTACTGCAGAGTGGCTGGGACCAGACCAAGACCTCTCCTATACGGCCCTTTGGGGGGTAATGGGTATCCAGGGACCACACCCAACACAAACTGACCTACCCATGCTACCAGCAGAACTGAAGCCAGGCGGGAATGCCTCTGTGGAGATGAAGCCGACATCAGGGAGGTGACCAAGTGTGCAATGGTGGGTGGTGCTGGCACAGCAGCCCAGGAAGTGCTGTGCGCAGTCATGCACACCACACGATGCTGTCATTAAGACATGCAAAGAATGTATGTGACAGATTCAAAAGTCTGCAATTTATTAGGTACAAAAGCAGATTATAAAATGAGTATATGGTCCTAATTTTGCAAAAAAAAATTTTTTTTGAAGGTTAAAAATCCCTGAGATTCAACCTGGTAGACTCAGTCCAGGTAGGTCTAGTCCCCTCCTCCCAGGCCGAGCCAAACAATCCTGCATAGGCCCCAGGTTTCAAACAGCCAACTCATGCAATGAGCACAAGATCTGGTCCCACTGCCTGGATGCCTCCCAAACGCCCTGGAGGAGATGGGAATGGGGGGGGGGGCGTTGGGGGGAAGGTGAGGGGGACGGGAGGGGGGAGAACAAGGGAATCCGTGACCGATATGTAGAACTGAATTGTATTGCAAAATAAATTAAAATAAATTTAAAAAAAAAAAAAAAAAAAAAAAAAAAAAAATCCCTGAGATTCATGGCAATACTAAGACTGCTATTACTCATAAGTAGGACTGTAAAAGATTTTAAATTTCCTTTCTTACACTTTAATGTGTTTTCTAGATTTTATACGATAAACCTAATTGTTCTTGTATTTCTGAAAGAAATAATGCATAATAAAATACATCCTATTTGGGGAAATTTTAAAAACCCTTTCACACATTTCAAAATGCAGAATTACAAAGTCAATAGCTTTTATTAACATGATATAAAAAATTAGTGTGATATACAGAATTCCCAGAGAGTAACTTTAAAACATTTTAATACAATTCTTAAAATCTTAACTTACCAGATACGTTCTTACTGCCACTGAGTTTTTAATACAAAAAGTTTACAAGCGCTGTTTACTATAAAACTACAACATTGAGACTGTGGATAGGTAGTCTGTTCGCTGCTCAGTCATTTACTGTGAACCTTCTTCAGTCTGTTGCTAAACCTCTGATGCCAAGTAATAAGTTACATGGATTCTGTACACAATTATAACAGGATTATTAAAATTCCAGTGTGTGTGCACATACTACACCACAGTCTGATACCATGAGGAAAAAGGGCTATCGCACACAGTGCTTTCCAAGAGTGAGACGCCAGAGGAGGACCAGTTAGCTGGACTCATGGAAGCACAAATCCAGGCTAACTCTAGAAAAACCTAGCTGTTTCAGTGAAGCAGGTATGGTTCATAAACTTCTCTACCCTTGAAAGTCCCTAAACCCCAACAACTTGATAACATTAATCTTTGATTAGTCATATAAAAATAATCTTAGATTCATGCTGGACTTCAAATTCTTAGATGTATCTAAAGGATTTTACATTCTCTTTTCTGACTTAAGTACAATATTAGATCACTTGGATTTCAAGTTTGAATAAAATAACTAAAAATGGTTTGGCCAAATTTTTATAGGCACATAACTCAAATGCAAAGCCAAGAGGCTGCAGCGGTGTCCAGCCCAGACAGCCAGGTTCCCATGGCAACTCAAGTGTTTAAGAGACCCAGCTAGCACATGGGTACGACCTTAGGTTGCCACTCATGCTTCCAGATCTGTTCATAAAAATAATTCAGTATAATTCATGAGAAGAATTAATATTGTGATGTCATGAGAACTTGCAATGTAAATGTCACTTAGTTTAGGCTAGGAAAGTGATTTTAAATTAAAGGCTGGCTTATGTTTCTGAAGTAGATCTAACTAAACAGTCCAAATGGCACTTACTGAGCATTAGCGACAACACACGCAGACAGCCAGGCACATCTGCTCCACTAATCAAATTGGCAAAGGAAGCTGTGTGGCTCAGTGGCGTCTGGGGATGCGGAGGGCGGGGCTGCTCCTTTTATCAGCCTTCCTAGGCAGGCTTGGCTCAAAAGTTCTCTCCAGCATAGACTTTACATATATGCTTGTTATTACAAATGGGAATAAATAATCAGGAAATTATATATTTAGAAATCAGGAATATTTTTAGAGTAAGAAAGTGCAAGCACGCAGTATAGCAGAGAACAGCCATGGTGTTGGCAATGTCCACAGCATAACACCAGGCCTTTCCTTCCCTTCCCAATCACCCATGTTTTGGTAAATATACTTGGCAGACCCAGAACATTTCTTTAGTTGACTCAGATATGTTCTAACATGACAGTCAGGACGCTGTTGAGAGGATCTGAAAAGCACACGCAGGAGTGAACTGATGAAGCCGGAAATCCCTTCTCCCAGGGCATCAACAGTGCAGCTCATCTTGGCCTTACACCTCTGCTGGGTCATACTCCCAGCTCTGTCCAGCCACACTCACATATTGTAGGCCACATAGATGGGGTCCAGCTGGTCAGCCAGGAAGCCATCACGCAGGTGCATGCGTTGCTTCTCACCCCGAGAGTTGATGGGGATCACTCCAGGATCTACGATGACCACCACACCCACCACAAGGTAGTGTTCCTCCAGCACGACATTGGTCACGAGCGCTACTAGGTCCAGGGCATCCTGCTCCAGACCGTCCAGCTCCACCACTACCACCAGCAGATTGGTCCAGGTAAACACAGCACTGAAGGAGAACAGACAGTCACAGACATGGACAGCACCGGGAGCAAGCAGATGCTTGGAAAGTATGCCAGAGTTAGCAAAGACACCTGCTTCCATTCATGGGCCTGGCACTGCCACTTAACACCATTTATAATCTTAAAGCTGGGCTAACTGTATCTTACAGGGATATCTACTCCAACTTTCTTGATAAAAATCAAAAACTATCTTGATAAGAATCAAGAACAAAGCTGTGCTTGTCCCAGGCCAAGCCCCCTGCAGAATAAAGAGATATGGCTCACCACTGTTTTAAAAAGTAAATCACATTTAAACTAGAAATACTTCAGAATGAGAACAGCGGCAGTCTCACATTTTGCCTGTATGCTGAATCATACAGCTATGTGATTTAAACCTGATCAGGAAAAGAAGAAGACATGGAGGCATTCTCTGGTGCTGTTTTGTAGAAATGTATCTAGAATAGTTAAGAGGTGCAGGTCCTTCTGGGAGAAAGGTGAAGGCAATTCAGTTCACCAGGAATAGTGCCTGGTGCTGCCCTGTGTGCAGTGCTCATGCCCAAGGAGAGGCTGGAAGAGCAGCACAGGAAATCCCTCCATCAGCTCTTACCATTCTGCAATGCTCCTGTGTGCACGGATCACAGAGGTTTCTATGTCGATGGGGTGGTACCGCATGCCTCTCAGTTCTAGCGTTTCATCCAGAGACCCAACAACATACAGCGCATCATGTCGCTCTGTGAACATGAGTATGTGCATGCTTAGGAAGCAAGTTACACAGTGAGTCTGCCTACCCTCTGTGCATGAACCCTGCCAGATGCCCTGTGCCACGTGGAGGCCACGACACCAATATCTCTTGGTTCTTGTGCTTCAAGCCAAGAGGACTGGTGGAGATGTCAACAACTTAAGTCTTACCTGTGCAGTGGCCGACAATCTCAGTAGTGACAGCAGTGTAGGTTAATATGTTTTATGGCAACCACAGGCTACAAAGTTCTGACCCAGATGTTAGGCCTGCAAGGGCCAGACCTTTGGGCAACCATCACAGCTTGGCCTCATCAGGGTGGAAAGGGCACCACATATGACTGAAGAGCCACGCAGAGCACACCATACCGATAAAGAATGGAGTTTCTGGGATGGCTATGTCACTTGGGAGGAAGCTCACAGCGTATGGCCAACAGCTGTCACAGTCTGAGACTGTGAGGGGCAGCAATAGGAAGAGGAACAGAGCAAAGTGTATTGGTGCCTATTCTTTACCCCACACTGAACAACACAAGTTATGGCCAGTGGTGTATGTGGGTGGGGGTTGTTTCGGGTAATTAAGGGCTCCCAAAGGGGAGGTAAGGCTCCCAAGCTATAGCAACAGAACTCCCAACCCCTGTAGTGCTGGGGCAAGCCCTTCACCAAAGAGCTCTTACCTCCACTGGCATCAGTCAGCTCTGTCCTAC